CCAGGTCCTCACTCGATGAATCCGTGAGAACCGGTAGAGGGCTGGGCTCCATATGTAGAGACCTGAGTGGATCCCATATGTGTAAAGTCCACGGTATAGCCTCAGAGCCCCGTGTTTCCCCAGCAAACTTCTGCCATTTCCAAGAGGGTTATAATCACCTCTAATCTTCCATATGCACCTAAACGGTTGTTCATATGTGTAAGTGCTTCCGAAACCTCCTTCGGGAAGGATGGGGCTTCTTCAGAGACTGAATTCTCTGAAACAGTTCACGGCTCAGGCAGCACAGTTCTACAAGTTACTCGAACAAAACTTACTTTCAGTCAGTCGACTCAAAATGAGCCAAAATTGCAGCGTATCTGATCCTATGATGAATGAACTGATTCAGTGCTCCAGTTACTGAACTGAGGAAACGGTTAGACTCGTACCGAAGACCGATGAGCTGCTGATATGCGCATACGTGAACCGAGCACTTGAATGAAGGGGCCAAATGAAAGTTTTTATGGTTTCTCGTTGTTTTTGTAAAAAAGTTAGCTGATGAACACCAGTCCATTCACTTTATATGCTTTAGACATGTAAAACATCCACGTTTCACATCATTATTGGGTGCTTTAATAATTGCGTATACATTATGAAACGTATACATTGCGTGATTATGTAAACAAACTAGTGAATTGAACCAGTTCTTTGAAACAATCTGTCTGAAAGAACCAGTGTGCGGAAAACAATCAGATTTCCCCGTTTGCCTGAGGCTCTGGATTACAGGTAATAATGTTGTAAATCATGTAAATTGTTTCATTTCATTAGACCTCAATATATCGTCAGGAGCCGCTGGTATTTATTTTTGTGTTCCCTGGTATGCTGTTTTTGACTCTAAAAGTGCTGGTAGCTGCTGACTTGCATTATATGAATCACCAAGAACCATAGGCTCCCGATTTATGTTTTTGCCAGTGGGTGCTCAACCTGATCCCCTCCCCCAAAGGTGAATGTGCGTCTTTTTTTTTTTTTTTTTTTTAAACACATTTTCACCGCTGTTTCCACGAGCAAATGATAACTGGCTAGGCTATACACATACGCAACAAATGCTTGCAGCATTCTCATTATCAGTAATTAATTACATTGGGTGTTAGTTTTTTCTAGAGTATACTCCGTTCGATGAATTCACTACACAAAATTTATCTTGCGAAGTGAAACGTACGGACTGCAAATATATTATCAACCAAACAAATTATAATACACAAATTCTTTCTATGAGGGTTGTGCTTCACTAAATAAAATTATTTAATGAATACCTGTTTACAATAAGCACTTATTCGCGCACACACAAGACAAAGTTTGAGGGTGCACACATAATATCTGAGTGAGTGCAGAGCCATAATCTCTATATATGAGAGAGCAAGCCCGCTGCAAGCCGAGAGATTCGTGCTGGCGCTCTCTCGTATTACAATAATGCACTCTCGACATTTGCCATTAAAAGAACACTAAAAACTGCCTCAAATGAACTATAAAAACGAGAATAAAGTTTTAAAAGCTGCAATCCATTTTTATTGGTTAAAATGAACGGAAACTATATTGTGTTTTTCCGTGGGTGCTCGAGCCCTATGCCAGCGCCTTTGCCAAGGACCATGTTTCAACTAAAAATCTTCTTTACTGTCACCTACATCTTGGATGGCCTGAGGATGAGTAAATTAACAGCAAATTTTCCATTTTTTGGTGAACTATCCTTTTTAATGTTTTTATACAAATATATCATTATATATAGAATAATTTTGTCAAAGTGTGGTAATAGGAATTTACAAAAATAATTTCTTTTATGTGAATTAACTGAATTAATTTCTGTTTGGTTTCATTTGCTGCATTTGTCCATTAGGAACCTCAGTTTAGGTGCCAAAGCTGAAACTGCAATAGGGAAACACTATATTGACTTGGACAAAGATACGAGAACTAATCTAACAAATCTACTGAATGGAACTGAGCACAAGGAAGTGTGAGTTTAAGCTTCAAACACAGACATATTTTTCTTTACTTTTTTACCACTAAAAACACATTCGCCTGAATGATAATTTGTAATGGTGTTTTTTATTAAGGACCATCAAAAAAATTTTTCCAAGATACATCAGAGCACCAAGCGACTCCAATGCCAAGCCTATTGAGCAGCTTTACCTCGGTAATACACCAGCTCTCCATTATTTGGTGCATTGCTATGCATTTGTACAACCTTCAACATGCCTGTTTCTCTTCACTCTTCTGTGTGCTCTCTAAGATAAAGAATACATGAGCATCACACTGTCCTTACATAAATCCAGTAAAGATAGTGCAGAGGGCGTCCAGGAGTGGTGGATCGTGAATCAGATGGATGCAGGGCCGTTATCTGTGGGCTCAGCCAGGAATGCAAACGAATCTGGTCTGGAGCTCTACATCATCAGTGACCAAGTCAGTCCACCCAGTCTGGGCTTTCTGGCTGGTTATGGGTGAGTAACATGAAACATTATAGTCTGAAGTTATTTTTCTGTCCTTCCTAAAGGGACAAAACTGTGCATCCAATCAGAACATAGTTGAGCTTTCATATATAGTTAAGAGGAGGTGGATTTTTGACCAATGAGAGTTCGCTATGGGTGGGGCTTCTCAGTAGATATGCTTCTACAACTAAAACTCACAGTACTAACATTAAAGAGACATATTGAGTGTTTTTAGCCGAGTTAAATTCAATATAGTGATGCACCAAAATTTACATAGATTTTTTAATGTCAAAAGTTTGATTACTAAGAATTTTATTTCTGAAAGAAATTACTGCATTTATCCAGCAAGGGTCAATTAAATTGGCAAAACAAAAAATGCTGTTCTTTTGAACTTTCTATTCATCAAAGAATCCTGAAAAAAAATCACAGTTTGCAGCACAACTGTTTTCAACATTAATAATAGTCAGAAATGTTTCTTGAGCTGCAAATCAGCATATTAGAATGATTTCTGAAGATCATGTGACACTGAAGACTGGAGTCATGATGCTGGAAAAGTTATTTTAAATTGTGATATTTCACAATATTTCTGTTTTTACTATGTAATAAATGTGGCCTTGGTGAGAGTAACATAAAAAAAATCTTACCAACTCTTAACTTTTGGACTGTAGTGTACTGTATATTTTAAATAATAAAGTATATATTTTAAAATTAAATGAAGTTTGAAATAATCTTGAATAGGCATTATTTGGCAGAATTTTCATCCCTTTAACATCTCACGATTCTGACTTTATTTCTCGCAATTCTCCGAATTGACAGGAAAAAAGTCTGATTTGTGCCATAGAAATGTAAAATTGCTAGAAAAGACTATTTTGAGAGAAAATGTTAAGAAAATGTTTTTTTTTTTCTTTAATTCCATGGTGCAAACTGGCTTCCATTGATATTTGTTATATGATATGATATGCATCCCATTTTATCAGTCTGTAAGGAACTTCATTCAAAAGTAATTAATTGATAATGCTGAGCTGAACGTGTGAACCTGCGTGTGCACAGGATCATGGGGCTGTACATGTCGGTGGTTCTGGTTATCGGGAAGTTCGTGCGCGAGTTCTTCAGCGGGATCTCACACACCATCATGTTCGAAGAGCTGCCCAACGTGGACCGGATCCTCAAGCTCTGCATCGACATCTTCCTGGTCCGAGAAACGGGAGAACTGGACCTGGAGGAAGACCTGTACGCCAAACTCATCTTCCTCTACCGCTCTCCAGAAACCATGATCAAGTGGACCAGAGAGAAGAGTGAGTGACGCTGACCTTCGGAGGAACTCTAAACGAACCACGAGAAGCACAAAGCGGGAATTGTGCCTCCTTCCCAAAGCGCACGGTTGTATTGAACCGATTGTTCTTCATGCTAACTGATGAAACGTTAGCACTCGTGTAGTTTTCACCCAGTGCACTTGCTAGTGTTTTGTAAGGGCTTGATAAGTGAACTTTAGGGCTTCCAGGCATGCGCCACTTTGATACGACTCTCGCCTTTGGGAGTGCATGCGACGTGATGGACGTAGACGAGAAATACTCAACCTCCTACAGACTTTGGGCTTGATTTTGAACGTCTCTCTGAATTCTGAAGGCGAGAACCGAAGCCCTGTAGGCGGCGCTGTGAATTACGTGACAATCTCTATTTGCCTTATTTCATTTGTACAATCAACTAGACGCATCATTATCCACCACCTTTCTCAGGAATACATTCGGATCATTTCACCACGACGGGATCTCAACCTTTTTTCTCATGTACGACACGGTGTGAAGAGGAACATACGCAACAGTAATAACTTCACTCCTTGGGGACTTTAAGGAGATCATCTGTAATTTATGAACACAGATTTGGAATGTGAAAAGGACGTTTAGTGGTTTATAAGGCTTGAAGTAGAATGACTTTTCAAAACTAATGGGAGATTCTTTTCACATTACAATGAATGATTTATCAGTTTCAGCAACTTTGGATTTTCTTTATTATTATTTAACAACCTTATTTCATGAAATAGAAAGAATTTGAATGTGTTTCTGTGTACATTTCTTCATATATCCAAATGGTTTTATGAATGGTTTGCATAGAAATTTGTTCAGAAGGAATTTTGAATGTTTCTGTGTACATTTGTTTGTAAATTCAAATGATTTTCTGAATTATTTACACTGAAATTTGTTCGGAACGAATTTTTGAATGTGTTTCTATTAGGGGTGTAACGGTACACAAATATGACAGTTCGGCTAAGGCGTTTATACAGCGATCTGTCATGCCACATAAAAGACGGTCAAAACGGCATTTATTATTTGAATTTCCTGAGAAGAAAAAAAAAAAACTGTATTCGTGCGGTACACATGCGTACCGAACCGAAAGACGCGTACCGAAACGGTTCGGTACGAATACGTGTACCGTTACACCCCTAGTTTCTATGTACATTACCTCATAAATCCAAATGATTTTATGAATTATTTACACGTAAATTGTTCAGAATGATTTTTGAATGTTTCTTTATAAACAGTCTTTTTAAGAATTATTTACACAGAAATGTTTTTCAAAAATGAATTTTGAATGTTTCAGTCTATATTTTTTTGTGAATTCAAATGATTTTATGAGTGATTGACATGTAAATTAGTTTAGACTGAATTTTAAATGCATTTCTGTATAAATTTTTTCATAAATCCAAATTATTTTATGGATGATTTACATAGACATTTGTTTAGAACCAATTTTAAATGTGTTCCTATGTATTTTTTTTTCATAAATCCAAATGATTTTATGAATTATTTACATAGAAATTCATTCTGAATATATTTTCGGTGTTTCTGTGAAAATTTTGTCATAAATCTAAATGATTTTATGAATTATTTACACAGAAATCTGTTCAGAACCAATTTTGAGTACATTTCTTCGTAAATCCAAATCATTTTAAGAATTATTTACATAGAAATTCATTCGGAGTGAATTTTGAATCTGCTTATTTAATTGTAAATCCAAGTTATTTTTATGAATGATTCACAAAGAAATTATTTTGGAAGGAATTTGAATGCGTTTCTTCATAAATCCAAATAATTTTCTGAATGATTTATCGAGAAATGTATTCAGAAATACACAGAGCAAAATAAATTATTTGCTAAACCATTTTCTCAATGCAACAATAGTGTGAAATGGTTTTGCGAATGTTTCTGGTCATTGCGCTTCATTCATGCAACACGAACAAAATGAACATTTTAGGTTAGTTCTGCTCGTGTTTCATAAATCATTATTTCGTGGAAACATTTGACTTGTGGTGAAAGTGAATAATGAATATTAGTTATTAACAGATAGTCTACATCCTTGAAGGCATGCGAGATTTACAGATTGTTAGAGTAGAGTTATTAAATATGCATCGCCAGGACCGTTGTGCTCGTCAGAAAGTTGTTTGTACATGAGGAAGAATCTGACTCACATTTGTACTACGTACTTATATTTATTTGAGCAATACGACAGGCGGGTGGACCGTAAAGGACATGAAATCCATTTTTATCCTACATCTTTGGCAGCCATTCTCAGGAAGGAGCTTTCTATGATCAGGGTCTCACGGATGAACCGCTGGAGTCTCTGCTAGGCTGTAGATTTACAATGGGATCATGTACGATATAAATGACTATCAATGAGCTCCACGCCGACGGATCGTGTTGTGCTGATGCTTGAGGAGAACATTGAATATTGTTTTGAGTCCATCTCTGAACTATGCATTAAAGACAATGTAGCATGAATGAAAAATAATGTTTGACATGAAACGCTTTCATTACTTTGTGTGTGCAGAACTTTTTCAGCAACATCAAAACGGGGGGGAAAAAGAGAACTGTAGCTGGATGAAACGGGAAATGGGAGTTTATTGACTTCAAATAAAGCACACAATTAAAGGACAGCGTGCCACTTTTGTTTACATTTTTGTACATTCATATAAAATGTTTTTATTTGTATATTTTCCTTTTCATTTTTGTCTTTATATATTATTATTATTATAATTATTACTACTATTACTATTATTAATAATAATATAGTTTTTATCAATTTTTTACATCTGTTTTATATTTTAGTTAATTTATTAGATCAACTCAAACCAAATGAAAATGAGAAATGTTACCTTGGAAAATAGTTGAGATAAAATCATTTTAAGCTTTCTCTCTCTCTCTCTCTCTCTCTCAGTTAACCTTTATGGTCACACTTTATTAACTACGACTTTTGCCTCAACTCCTAATTTACTGCTAATAGTGCGGTAGTTGGTAAGTTTAGGTATGTAGTCTATGGTCGTGTAGAATATGTGCTTTATGAGTACTAATAAACAGCCAATATGTTAATAATATGCATGCAAATAAGCAACTAGTTAATAGTGAGAATTGGTCCCTATACTAAAGTGTTAAAGGGGTCATATGATGCGATTTCAATTTTTCCTTTCTCTTTGGAGTGTTACAAGCTCTTGGTGCATAAAGAAGATCTGTAAAGTTGCAAAAACTAAAGTCTCAAATCCAAAGAGATATTCTTTATAAAAGTTCAGAGTCAGCCACACCTACCTAAAACGGCTCGTTCTAACACGCCCCCACATACCTACATCACGATCTCGGAAGATTTGCATAACGCCGCCCAAACGTTCACGCAAAGAAAGAAGGCGTAACTTCTATTCTCGCTGTAGTATTGTTGTTGCCACCGCC